GCTGACAAACGATTGCTCCAGGTAGTAGAAATATGCTATATAAGAAAGTAAACTAAACTAAACTAAACTACATCCACACAGAGGAAAACTAATTTTTCCTGACAGTGAAATGCATATTTAATCTCATGAATTTAACATGCCAAATGTTCACTTGTGTGAGGGAGTTATTTAAAATGTAAAGAAATAAAATGAGGGTCATCACATTAGATTTTTTTTATCATATAAATGATTTGTGATTTGTTCAAAACATGGGGGTTGAGTAGCTATAATGTGCTTAACCTGCTATTAATAACTGACCGGCAATATCCCATCAACTGACATTCAGAGAATGACACGATCAGCGAACGACGCAGTCAAAGTTGTCCTTCTGTCTGGCTGAATGTGAGTCACAATGCCCCAGAGCAGGTGTATGTTGTCAAAGGGTTTAATGATGTGGCAAGTGATGCAAACAGTGCAATAGAGTTATGCATTCTCCATGGTGTGAGGTGGAAACTCCTACTAAGACTCATCTGGGTATGGGTAATAGATCCAGCTGCTTATTCTGTAGTCAGATGTACATAATACAAAGACTGATATGCTTCATCAAGTCTTCATATTGGAAAAAAAGAAACAAAGTTCTGCTTGCATGAGGCCATCCTCAGTTATAAAGACAACTGATTCAGTCCTTAGGAGCAGGCAGCATGTCGTCATATTTCTTTGAAGTCTGCCTGATTCAGAAAGAGGGTATAAAAAAACTGTTTCAGGAATCAGGAAGGATAATAACTGGAGCAAAGTGTGTTCTTTTTTTTTTTTTTCAAAAGTTGATCGTCTTTTGTGATAATGCGAGTGGCAATATGACTACTAGTTAAACAATATACACTGACAATTGCGTGAACCCTCGTGTTCCTTAGCTGTTATCTATTAGCGTAACATATGGAGTGTCAAATATTATTTTGATAAGCTAAGCGGGCCTCTCAGATGTACCCATGCTGTCATGGGAACCAGTCAAGCAATTAAAGTGATAAATATTTGTCAAACGTCTTTAGAGCAAACCTACACTATGCAGTGTTCTTGTTAGATCAGTTGATGTTGTTGTGAAACTGAAACTGACGACGGTATCTTTGTAAAGACAATAATGTACCAATAACTTTCAATCACCAGTAAACAATGACAGATGTTAAAAAATTGGCCTGGACCTGTTGTTCCCGAGACTACTCACACTACTCACTAAGACTAATTACCTACTCATAATTCACTGAGTCAGTCTCACCTAATTGTTTGTGCTTGACAATCATAATAATTTCCTTCATAGTATAACATCTCTACAGGAAATTAGAACAGCATTTCATGATAACAAAGAGAATATTTTGAGTATGGCAATATTTACTCAGCATTGTTAGGGTGAGCACAGACTGATAAAGATGGAAATATTGTGATTAATTATTGTTTGAATTTTCCTTATTCAAAATTTCAAACAAGCAAAATAATATGGCTCAAAATAACTCCATAACGGTAGAATGATAACTTTTCTAAATCATATTTTGAAACAGGCAGTGGTATTAATTTGTGGGATAATACAACAGGAACGGCTGTTGTCTTCATTATTACATAAAAAAGCCCTTTACAACAGTCTTCTTGCTTCATTGAGTGTAAGTAGCAACAATTGTGAACATGTTTAAATATCTCAAAATTTTTCTGAATAAAAAAGAGAAATGGATGTGTGTCTCCATTTTTGGGCACTGTTAAAAACATTCACATTTGAGATGAGACTTAAAAACATTTGAACACATATTAAATGGAAGAGGTATGTTCTGTTTTCACAGGTGGTATAGGATTTACATGGTATAAACAGATACTGATTTAAAGCGACTTTTCTTTCCCTCACATTTCACATTTTGGTACTTTCATGGACAACCGGTTAAAACACTCTCTATTAACCTGTAATATGTGAAACACTAAAAAAACAGGGTGAGCTTTTTTGCAACCATGATGAGCAGTAAAAGGATTCATCACACAAAACAATAAATATAAATCAACACTGATTACTTCTGAAATAACAGCAATGCATTTTTTTTGCATTTGTACAAAATAATTTAATTAATTTCTATTTTTGTCCCCCTCTCTAACACAATTCAAATCCAAATTTTGAACCTACATTTTCACAATAAAAAAAGTGAGAAAATGTCAGCACAATTAAGAATCTATTAATAAAAGTGTGAAGTACATCTCTTGCTTCACTAGGGAATGTCATTAACTATATACATCATGCTCAGAGAGTAATCCAGTGCAGAAGCTGATTTGCATTTATTTCACATTATCTATGGCTGAATGGGTTGAAAGACCCACCTAGTGACAATTAAATCATAAAGCATAAGACACACTTTTTAAAGTCAATGGTAGCACAAGACAAGTTTCTAAATGGTGAACATATAAAAAAAAAATGATTTCCCCATAGAAACAACAATTTATCATGCAGATAAGTATAATTATAGTCCATTATTTCATTTAATGTAAATATGAGGGATTTTTTTAAATGAATGTATGGGTTTTTAAAATCTGTGTACTGTGATGGCAAAGTAATGTAATATTTTATAGCAGCTGGTGAACACTAATAAATAGTCCCATCGCTTTTCCTATGTATGGTCACGGGGATGCTGGAGCCTATCCCAGCATCTCAGGCCATAGACCAATTCACCATGATGCATGCCTTTGGATTTGGGGGAAACCGAAACAGCCGGAGGCAAACCACTCTGACACAGGGAAAACGTGCAGGTTACACAGAAAATTCTCCTGGATCATCCAGGACTTGTCCCGGGGAGGTGTGAGGTGACAGTGCTACCCGCTGAGCCACCATGCCACCCATAAATGGCTATTATTCCATTGTACTGAACTAAAAAAAAATTGCTTCTCTCTTAAAAGGTTGAGTTATCAATTACATTTAAATGATGCAGTTTTCTGAGGTGACAAGTGTATTGTGTGATACGTCTTTCTACTTTGTAGGTCAGAACCTTTCATGTTATTAGTCTCACATTTTTCTCAATGACTTTTTTTTTGCCATTTAGCTGTTTAAAAACATTTCTCTAATAATGATTTGTTCTGCCTCTGTTGCTTCAATTTATCACGTCAAAACACAAGATAGCCTACATATTCTCTCCCTGGCATCTTATTAAGAAAAGATCAAGCACCAATCCAAAGTGATAATTAGATTGTGTTTATCACATTCAGCGTCACAAAACATGAATCATTCTACATTTTGCTTTCACACTTTAAAAGGTGTTTAAATGTTAAAATGACGGGTGAGAGTCAAGACAGTTTGAGGTTTACACTCTCTCTGCACTCTACTAACTACATGCAGCTTAGTTCTTATGTGGGTTTTCATAAAGAAAGTTGTGAAGCAGGGGAAGGTTAGCACCTTTAAACTCTCAGCATTAATCAGCCATCATCTGATTCCACACATCTGAGTTTTATGGCATGCCATGTCCCTTGTGAGTCACTGGCCCATTTGTTTCAGACTGCAGAGTCGAGTCGAATGCTTGTTCACTGGAGTCACACAATTAGGGTCTCAGGATGTCAGGCCATAGGGAAAAGAGGTGTCACTAGTGGTAATGGATTGCATTTTCACCTTCGGCCTTTCGTAAGTTTACTCCGGGTCTTCACCCTACCCTTCCTGCCCCACCTGGAAACTATGAAGGAAACACCCCCCACAGGGAGACCCATTGATTTCCATGACAGGGAAAAAAAACAAGATGAGGACAAGCTGATACAAATCTTTCTTTTCTCAAAGCTGATTTCCTTACTTGTATAATGTTTAAGCAAGAATTGTTCTGAGAGTAAGGCATGCCATTGACTCTAAATGAGTATGCATCTAAAAACGAATGCAAAGTATCAAAAATAAAGAATGCAAAGCATAATATGATTTATAGCATTGGGGTGTTTAGAAGGCTTTAGAGTCAATTTCATAATGTCATAACTGCAAGTACTGGCAATTTACTATATTGTGTGATTTGACTCATAAAACAGGACCTTTGAACCTGACCTTTTTGTATTTACCAAACATATCAATGCAGAGTAAACAATGATTTTTTTGAAGTTGTGTTTAATAATAAAAAAAGGTAATTAGTGAATGTTTTACAGGGAAATACAATTTCAGTCTTTGGTTACACTTTATTTTAAGGTGTCCCTGTTACAGTGTAATTACACACGTAAGTAATGATTAACATTAATTACCAACATGTACTTAATGGGGCCAGTGTTTGGTTTAGGGTTAGTTGCATGTAATGTAACATGTGACAAGACAGTGTAAAATAAGTCTTTCTAAAATCTTTCTTAAATTCTTGCTGTTTCATTGTAATTAATTGTGAAATTTACTATTTCTGAGTGAAAATTGTTTCTACACCATTTTTTTCAGTGTGGATCATAAAAGAACAGATCATCTGTATTGATTACAAACAGCAATTAAATAATTTGTATTGTTAGTATCACAGGAACTCAATCAAAAATAGCATGTACAACATGACCATTTAATTAATTAATTAATTAATTATTCATGTATTACAATATGATTTCTATGTGGCATTGTTTTGGACATTAAACAGACTGAGAATGAAGAGTTATTAGGAAATTATAATAAAAATAATAAAAACCTACAAGGCTGGATAAATGGTCTTTTAATTTACTTACTAATGACACTGTTTAAATCATGTGAACTCCTTTAGGAAGCCAAATGTCATAGCATTTCCTCCGCTGCAGCAGCGTGTGATGTGAGTGTTGTCCATGGTGCTGAACTGAGCGCTGCAGCTCAGGGAAATTTGACTCGGCACGTGTTGGCAAGTGATAATTACTTTTCCATAGGTTCCCTCATATTCCCAACACGCGCCTTATTTGCAGTGATCGACAACGTCACACATGACTGTTACTGTTCGCTGGACCATTACTACACGACACCCCATCCAGCCCTCCCATCCGCGCGATATAAAACCAACATCTGACGCCTCCAGTCGTAATAGATGTACGCGCGCTGAGAGAGAGAGAGATAGAGCGAGCCACCAACAGCATTTAGAAATGTCCAGTTTAAGTGTAACCAGTTTTTGTCACTGTGGATTCCTCACATACCTTGTGCTGTTCTCTTTTTACGTTTCGATAGCGTCCTCGGTGAGCCTTGACTTGACTGAACTAAGAAACAAAGTTGCAAAGATCAAAGTTAACCCGAGAGGAAATTTATGGGCAACAGGTGAGATGCACACACGACTTATTATTGTGCTACATATAACGTGACTTTTACCTAGAACAGAAATGTGATTTGGCACTTAAGGTCATTTTATGGGGAAGAAAAGTGTTGTGGACAGCGAACACTTGCTGACCGAGGATGACTCCACGATGAAAGCCATCGAGGCTGCACTGAATCCCCAGCAGGTCGAGCCCGCTGACCTCTACCAGGAGATGCTGAGGATCGCGCTTCAAGCACACCTCGACTCTCAGGAGATCCGCCCTAAAGTTCCGGTAAGAACCGAGTCTGGATTTTCTGTTCATTGTGAAGTATAGTTTCTACTCTGGTCTGAAATGAAAATGAGAGAGAATATTCTTCTGTTGTAAATAGTTTTCATAAAAATTTTTATTTAAATTAATGTGTTTGTTTGGCTTAAAATATAATTAGCACAATTCTGCATTATCAACTGTATAGGCTATAACCTAACATAGGCTACTTAATCAGTATAATGTTATCAATAACATAATCAATGATTGAATATAATCGACAATTGATTTATGAACTGTTTTTGGTCGTTCTAGGGGACTGCAATATTAATGAAGATATTAGACAGCTACATCCAAGACAATAAAAAAGGATGACTGCTATCGGCTGAGATCTTCAAAGTGTTTAATTCACATGAAATTTGTAATTGCTTTTTCATCAACTGTAATTTGTTTCTTAACTAAAACTTTTAACCACCTCCATGTCACAAGAAATGCAACAAGTTATACTTGTATATTTATTTTTAGATGTCCAGAAATGTTTTTTTTTTTCAATAATTTGTACTAAATAAAGGATTAATTAGTGAAGTCAGTTGCTCCTGCATGAAACTACAATGTTAAAAGTGTCCATTTTTGTTATCTAAATTTCTATACTCAGTGGAAGTATTTTTTTTAATGTATTTAGCCTATATATTTATTTATTTGTTAACCCCAAGCAGGTGAGTGAATCGTTAGGATTTAGAGAATTGTTACGCTTGGTGATTTCAGTGGGATTTAATTGTAGAATTAGGTATTCGGATGGTAACCACATTTTTTTTAATGAAAACTGCAAACTTTAAACACTATAATATATTGTATTTATCAGAAAACATCAGAAATAAATTCAAGACATGGATTGGAAAAGCAAAACAACATAAACTAAAAAGTGGACCAAAGCACAACAATATAATCTCAGAAAAAAATGCTGCTTTGAGAAAGTTTACATTTTTACAAACAGAACAGCAAACAAATGCAAATCTAAGACTTCAGCAACACACTCATCTGGATGGAAGATAATTTTCCCTTCAAACAAATCTCAACCATTTCTAACTGTTATAATGACAACCCATCAAAATGCAAAATTTCCAAGAACTAAAATAAATGACAAAATAAATGTTACGTTATAAATGTTCTGAAACACTGAAAGACTATACTGTATATATAATATGAATAACACAAGGTAAAAACTGATACATTGTTCATTAGCATATTACTATTGTCTTAACTTAAGAACTGAATATAATTCTTGTACAAACATAGTGTGCAAAAAGTACTATCTGAATATCAATTACCAAATACCTACTGGTGCTCTAAATATGTATAATACTTGTACCTTTGCCAAATTTAAGTCTGTGTTTGTCAACGTGAAAATCAGTTGACCATAATTTCCTCTTACATAAATTAATTACATAAGTTTGTTATCTTGTAGACAATGCAAATGATAACCGTCTTTGACCTGGCCTTGTTCTCCATTTAGTCAGCACAACACATCACAACATATTTATCTTTCCTTTTTAATATATGATCAGGTAACCAAAGAAATATGTATGAATGCCATATTAACAATTCTATTGAACTAGTTCTCTTTGACCTTTGAACTGAGGAGAGGCTATAATTGTAAATGTTGTGTAAGAAGGCTGGATTAATTATTTTATTCATTATAAGAAGATGACTAGAAGTGACTCAAAAATATCAGCCATTTTATAGTACATCACTTTTATCAACCTATACTGTCACTACGTTTTGCATAAGAGGGGAGAAATTGTTGAGATGGATGTGCACAGTCTACCCAAATATTTTCCTTAGATTTGCTGTTCATGATTTCATGCATTTCTAATAGCTTTAAAGGTGGATCAAATTTGACCAAAGGAACGCAGGCTGGTGCAGTTTCTTCATGCCAGCAGGAGAGTTAAGGATGTCTGTAATACGCATTGGGCTGTCGCTGAGAGAACAAACAGCAGTTCACTTCGCGATATTGAGGTCAGTGGGACACGTGACTGGCGCTGTCCAGTTGGATGCTCTGTTGACTCGCGGATCCTGACAATCCCACGAAATGCATCTGCTATTAACGTGAATTTCTCTCCTTGGATTAAAATATATAGCCTGGCCTCGGCGTGATAATGGGACAATGTGGTGTTATTTCTTCGAAGACGGTTTTAGTCTTCCTGAATCTGTTTTTTTGGGTAAGTTGCCTACAGTATAATAGCTTGAATGAATGCAGTGGTTAACGGGCACTATGGCATAGCTCTGCAGGGAGACACGCTACTGCGAATGAGCTGATGTTTACATGCATACTCGACAGGCTTTTAATAGACAGAAATCCGTTATGATTTTGATTGAAAGCATCACTGAATGAATCCAAGCGCAGTATTGCACATTGGTTTTTGTCTATTTTGTCCCCATGTGTCAGGACAGAGCACTAGCTGCTATATTTGGTTGAAGTAACGAATGTCAAATCACATAATACACAAATTATATAATGAAAACGCAGCTTTTAGCGTTGCATTAACTTAGCATACATGTAAAATAACCCATATATAATCAATTCTATCCATAAAATAAGAATTACAATATCGTCTGTAATCGCAAAGAAAATCAAAACTACACCTTTCAATATCGTTGTACAGAGATTTTTGTAGAGCAGGGATAATTGAAACACTTGGTTTTTGTTCTGAAATTTTGTTCTGTTTTATTGTTTCATTTATTCTGAAAATTCTAAAGCTATTCTTTGCTCAAACAACGTTAAGATATTAGCAGTCATCACTCATGCCAATTAAATTTATATCTATATTGAGTTTAATAATGAAACTGGAAGCATATGATTCTTGCAGCCAAAATACCTAAATAATTGTAACGTGGCTTGTGATGAATATTAAAATGTTAATGTTTGGCAATACACAACCTAAAACACTATATATTTTAATATTATAATACACAGGCTTTAACTGTACCAATTTTAATAAAACTCTAAAAATACACTTGGAAAGAATGTCAATGAAATACATTTTAAAATCTAACTTATTCCACATTTTAATTTTGTGAGAAATAAAACTGCTTATAAATTATGTCTGATTTGATATATTGAATAAAATTACAATCATAAAACAAACAAACAAAAAAAAAACGAAAAATTTTTCTGTTGCACACTTCCCAGGCTGCCGCAGGTATACTGTGCTACATTGGGGCCTACGTTTTCATCACATATGATGATTATGATCATTTTTTTGAGGATATCTACACTTTCATCCCTGCCATGGTGATAATTGCTGTGGGCACGCTTCTTTTTGTCATTGGTTTCATTGGATGCTGTGCCACCATTCGAGAAAGCCGCTGTGGCCTGGTCACGGTAGTCTGATATCCCTAATTTTCACATACTGTAGCTCTGATGATTTTTCTTGCAGAATCTTTCCTGATTGTTTCTGTCTGATTTTTTTGCAGTTCTCGGCAGTGCTGCTACTGGTATTTGCCACAGAGGTAGTTGTAGTGGTGCTAGGCTATATTTACAGAGCCAAGGTGGGAAATAATTAAATGATACGTACAAGTGCATATAAGTAGTTTGAAAGTGTCATTGTTAAAACATTGAAACGTATTTTATTTTTCTCTGAAAGGTCGAGGCTGTGGTGAACCACTCTATTCAGAAAGTATATAATGAATATAAAGGCACCAACACAGACGCTCCCAGCAGGGCCATTGACTATGTCCAGAGACAGGTAAGACCATTAGTTCCTTGGTCTCTTTTTTTCCCACCATTTTTCCATTTCTCTCTAACCTTCTTTTCTTACAATCTTTCACTTTTAGCTCCACTGTTGTGGCATTCATAACTACTCTGATTGGATGAACACTCACTGGTTTAATGAGTCCAAAAATAACAGTGTTCCAGTGAGCTGCTGCAAGCCCATCATCAGTAATTGCACTGGGACGTTAATGCGACCAGGAGACCTCTACCCAGAGGTAACACCCTCACACACTTTCTACAGACCTTCGGTCCAAAACTATTAAACGATAACTAATTTAGTCTAACTGAACTTCTTGTTACAGGGCTGTGAAGTTCTTGTAGTAAAGAAACTCAAGGACATTATGCTGTACGTCTTACTGGCTGCATTAACATTCACTGCCGTACAGGTAAAAAGCTTTACGGTGGAGGTCAACCACAGTCATACACTCAAATGAAGTGGTCATTTGTCACTTAAGCAGTGGTCTATATGATTTTAACAGTAAATACAGGAAGTGTAAAATAATGGAAACACCACATAAAATGTTTTACTTTGAAATAAGCTAATCATAGTACAGGTGCATCTCAATAAATTAGAATGTCGTGGAAAAGTTCATTTATTTCAGTAATTCAACTCAAATTGTGAAACTCGTGTATTAAATAAATTCAATGCACACAGAC